GTCTAGTGTGCATCCAACTCTGCCATCCTTCGCATCATCTTAGTTTTACTTGGCTTTGGGATACATAGCACAACAGTTTGTTATGCTTACAGCAGGATTATTTATATTTGCAATGTCAAAGGACTACTTCCCATGCAGATGGTTTTCTACCTTCTCAAAAAAAGTATTCCACCTAAGCCCTCCCACTGCTAATATTTACTAACCTACCTCACATATTCCAGCATTGACATATGCCCTTGAACCAACTCACATCCCAGCTGCCAAAATGTGTTGTATTTCTTTGGTTAGGTCTACACTGAGCCCCCCTCCCCGCAAAAAAGGGGCGGGGCACGGCGCATTTTTAACTCAGATTAGACAAACCAGGTTACAATAACTCGGGTTAGGAGCTTGATTTAAAACCTAAATGTTGCATCTCATTCTCTCATCTAGTGATAGCTTCCAGCACATGCCAGAGTAAAACTTCCCAATCCTAACCCCTACAGCCAAACTACTTCGCTGACACCTACCAATGCAAATAGTAGAAGGACTATGAAGTTAATTCTCTGCTCAGACCTAGTGTTACGCGTATTTTGAGGCATCCATCATTGCAGTAATAGTTTTCTAGATACTCTGGGCCCAGTTCTGCATTACCCTGTTCTGTGAGAGGCCTTTTTTTTTTTTTTTTTTTTTTTGCTAGTAACTTACCAAATAAAAAATGGTGGCTCTCAACATCCACTTTGTACTGGTATCAGTGGTTACACAAGGGGCAGAGCAGAGCAATGGAAAATCAGGCCATCTACGTACCAAACACTAAAATGGAGCAGTAGGAGTTCCAACATCACTGACAATGCATATTGTGACAGCAACAATGCCAGATGAGATCAGACAGAGCTGGGTAAAACAGAGAGGTATTTTACAGAAGCATGCATTTTAAAAATCATGTTAGATCCGAATCCAGTTCGGTTTTAAAATGTGCTGGAAAATCTTACACATATGCTTGGCAAACCTAAGCTTATTCACAGATCCGGCACGTGCTATTAGGGAAACTTTCATGCTGGGGGAACTTGGAAAATAGAAACATTTATACAAAATGCAACTTATTTTGCCACTAATTTCCTTTACCTTCTGCTTCATTGCAAACGTGCATTTGAAAAGCTTTCCATCCTCACGATCCTTTCTGCTTGCAATCAAGGTTGTGGCTTTAGATCAGTCTACTCCATGACAGTGCCTCTAGGCCATATCACACATTCAGCAGGTCTAATTACGAGATCAAATAAAAAGAAATGATGGTTCAGATAGGCACATAGCGAGTGCCTAATTTGTAATGAAAGAGGAGCTCAAGCAGTTAGGTGCCGGGGCTCAAGCAATTTTTTTTTACTTTCATAACTGACATGTCCAGAGGTGCTGGGGTTGTGAACCGCCAAGCCTAGAGGTGCTGAGGCTCAGCCCTGGCACAAATTAAGCCCTGCACATAGCTGTTTAAACAAACTTCGTTGAGTGATCAGCAAAATGGGCATGGGATTTAGTAAAAGAACATGACACTTAAAAGGATAAGTCAGTAGTAAGACTAGTTGAAAGCTTAACCTGGAGTGAAAAACAACTTGCTAAAAACCACATTACCTTAAAAGCAACATAAGAGGCTGCTTTTTCTTAAAGAGCGTGATCCAACTGCCTCGCAATGTTTATTTATACAAAGAAATCACACTTCGGATCAAATGCAGGCTCTGGAAAGGTTGCAAATCCTGGTTTTGTGTGAAGCTGCCCTACACAGAGAAAGAGCATGTCTGTTATAGAAATGCAAAATCCTTCTTCTGTACTCCCCATATCTTCCAAACACACTAGTGCGGAGTCAACTGGTAGGTGGAAAGATTAGGACAACTGAGTTCATCCGATGAAGTGGGCTGGAGCTCACGAAAGCTTATGCTCAAATAAATTGGTTAGTCTCTAAGGTGCCACAAGTACTCCTTTTCCTTTTGCGGATACAGACTAACACGGCTGCTACTCTGAAACCTGAGTTCATGAGAGTTTCCACGATGTTGTGGTCTCTCTTCTCTGTATAATAAATTGGCTTTTCCCCTTCCCACACTTCCTACAAACGGGAGACTCTCAGTATGTAGCCTAGAACAACTTCCCAGAATAGCCATGATGGGACAGGAAGGATGGCCTGTGATTAGGGCACTAGCCTAAGACTTGAGAGCTCAGGGATCAAGTCCTTGCTCCAACAGACTTCCTGCATGACCTTGCGCAAGTCATGTAGCCTCTCTGGGCCTCAGTTCTCTGTCTGTACAATGGGGATAACAGCACTGCCCCACTTCACACAGGTGCTATAAGAAGTACATTAAAGATGATCGGTTGCTCAACTACTACAATAAAGGGGGCATTTAAGTACCTTAGATAAAGGAGCGAAGGCAGATTTAGTAGCAGATTGTTAAGAGGGTGGGAGTGTAGGAAAGAGCTGTTTTTAAAACTAATTCCAGCCATGCTACAAGGTTAGTAGTGATCCTTAATGACCTTTTTGAGGGTGGTGATAAAAATATGTGGATCATCTATGGGCTCTATCACTATTTCCTGGCAGACAGATACAATATATATTCTTGAGGTCAGTTCTAGAGGAGCAGCTTATAACAACACTGTTTATGTGAAATCCTGGCCTCATTGAAGCCTATGGTAAAACTCGCATTGACTTCAATGGGTCAGGATTTTATCCTTTATGCCCATTTGAGGAAAAACCTTTCCTCTGTGTGATCATGCCAGCGGACCCTCCCTTCCTTCACGTGGGGATCTCCCACCTACTACCAAACCATTGGCTGCATATTCCTCCCCCGCCCCCTTTCCTGTGATGGGATTCACTCCTCCCTGGGGCACCTCCTTCGAACTGCCTGTGGGGATTAGCTCCTTTCAGGTCTAACCCTCTCTTCCATCACTCATTCATGTGAGCCGCAGCCTCCTTCTCTCTCTGCATGAGTCATGGTGCTCTCTGTAGCTTAGCCCTCCCGCCAGATCACTACTGTCCTCTGCTTCCAGGGTATCAAAGTCCCACTGGGCCTCTGTCTCAGCCAATCTTCTGTTCCACTACCCAGCCTGAGCCACTTCCCACTGGCTAGTAGGGGAACCTAGGCTCACCCACTACTCCGTGTTCTAGCCCAGGGACCATACAAGCAGCAGCGAAGGTCTGCACTTTCCCAAACCTTGCTGGTTTCCCTGGGCTACTTCCTACTTTACTTTGATTGGGCTCCTTCTCCACCCTCCTCAAGGTATGCCCTTACCTCAGGGCCAGGATTACAGACGCTGACTTTGTCATTTCCTGGGGAGTGCTTGACCCCCACCCCCACTCCATCCCTTTCCCCAAGGCCCCACGCTGCCTCTTCCTGCCCCACCCCCCGCACGCCACTGAACAGCGGATTGCGGTGGGCAGGAGGAACTGGGAGGGAGGGGGAGGAGGAGCTGATCGGCAGGGCTGCTGCTGAGCCCTGGAGCATCCATGGAGTCAGCACCTATGGCCAGAATCCCAGGGCCTCTATGCCCCCCCTGGTTTCTTCCTTTTCTTCTCTAAACTCAGAGTGACTGCAAGTCTTCCCCTCACCCAGCTGTGCTTCACCATCAATTAAAAGCATATTCGCCCTGACTCTCCCCCCCGCCATGGAGCCTATCACAGGGTTAATTGGCTCTTTCCCGCTACTCAAGCGGCCTGGGTAAACACCTCATCATAATCCCAACTCCACCAGGGATCTCTGTAAGCCTGGAAAGTATGGGTGGTGGTACATGCATTCTCCCCCAACGAGTCCCACAGAGTTCCCCATACAAATGTAATACAGCTGCAGAGGTCCTGTTCCCAGTTTGTCCAGCAGATGATCAGACTCTCCATTTTACTCAGTCCTTGCTTGGGGCAACTCCTGTTGAATCTCAAAGTTTGCACAAAAGCAAAAACGTGGGTTTAAAAGAAAATCCTCAGAATTCAGTTCATCATCAGTGCTCAGGGAGCCAAAGGCAAAAGGCTGGCCTCAATGGCTCCTCAGGCTAATTTTCAGAAAGAGCCCAATCTCATTCTTGAACTGTAGTCCTTTTGAAGATTTTCCCTCAGCCAGCTCAGGGAAGAATGCCCCTCCATAATGGGCCCTGAATGGCTCATGGAGTCCTTAATCCAACAGGCAGTTGGATAGGGCCAAACTGAAGTCCAACAATTGGTCTAGGCAAAAGGGTTTAATTCCACGCAGTAGAAGCTAGAACTAGTTTAAGCCACCACCACCCACCCACAAAAAAAACTCCAGAAAGTTATTTTGGTTCTGTAGGTTTTGAAGAGGAATCATTTGTTTATCCAAAATTATCAAGTTTCATTTGCAAAATTTTGGTTTCTATGTTTTCTCCCTGCCACAGTTCTCTCTCTCTCTTTCACACACACAGTTACAGCAACTAGAATTTTTGCAGCACCGTACTCTTCAACCCCACCTGACATACCTTTCCTCCCCCAAACTCAAACCCCTACAGTGGGGCTGGGGCTTGCAATGAAGTCCTCAAAAGGAAACTTTATGGTTGTGTCTGTACTGGAGGAATCCTCCCCATCTGAATATGGGTGTTTAAGGCTCCTTTATACTGCTCTGGCCCTTTTATCCAGCACAAAGGGAGCTGGGTGGAGGCTAGAACCTCACCCCTCAGCTGCAATTAAAAACTCTTTTCATCTGCATTAGTTTTCTCTTAATTAGCTTAGAAAGACTTGACCTTTTAGTAAAACTTCTATCTACTTTTAACTCTGGAGAGACTAACATTTAATTAAGATAATGGGGCTGACTCTGTCTCCTGCATGACTCATTTTCCACTAATGTTGTTCCATGCAGTGGACAATCAGCCCTCAGGTTGCCAAACCTCCAGGATTGTCCTGGAGTCTCCAGGAATTAAAGATTAATCTTTAATTAGAGATGTCATGTGATGAAACCTCCAGGAATACACCCATCCAAAACTGACAAGCCTAAATCAGGCCCAATATTTCATGTGAGAGCTACGTATTTAATCACAAAGAGACGGGGGAATTTAAACATTTATTCTTTATTGTATTGCTCAGAGTACCTATGCAATTTATGTATGTAGTGTAGTAAAGGATCCACATTTCCCCAAACATCACATTGCAGCACAGTCTCTTTACACGCTGTGAGTAATCAGTGCCTTCTTTAAAAGGTGACAATCAGTTGAAAGTTTAAGCATTTCTGGTAGTAAATGAAGGAAAAAGCTAAGTTATCAATACATATTTTTTCAAACATTCAAAAATACAGTTTACAGAGGACCGCCAATGAAGTCAAGCAACTACTTCGATGATACTCTATCTGTAAATGTAGACTCTGCAGTAAAAAAAAAAAAAAAAAAAAAAAAAGCCACATAAGCACAAAAATATATATTTTAACTTTTAAAATAATTTAAATACAGTAATATTTTGTTTGTGTTACCTGTGTTTACAACATATGGTCTATGATCTGATCTATAGATATAGGGCCAGATCCTTAGCACCTGAGGCTCTGGCCCATATTTAAAATTGAACAACCCCAAGCTGTTCACATTTGAACACACAGCAATAGTTTAACACTGAAGAACTAGTTACAGTGCAGCTAAAAGAAATAGTACTAATGAAAACAATTTAAGATTCTAGAAAGAATCTTAGATGTAAAGCAATGTTGAAATAGTTAATATTTATTCTTCACCTCCTAAGTCTCTAGTCTGATGCTTACAGATTGATTACTCAAAAGCCACTAAAGGTCAATCAAGCTAATGGTCACAAGTAGTATTATCATCCCCCAACAACATCTCTTAATTTTCTGATAACTAATACTGGTATTTGAAAGACATTTGTATGCTTGCTGAAAACTTTTATTAAAATGTATCCTCTTGCTACGAGATGTTTACCATACTTAAAAAAATAAAACAAAAACAAAAAACCACCACATGAAAAACATAAAAAAATATTTTTAAAGATTATTTTTAGAAAACCCAAACTGCAAATACAGCTGATCTTTATATATATATTCTTCATGTTTTTTTTTTTAATGCATCATTTACAAAGAGGCAAAAAAGTACACCAGTCCTAGGATTTATTTTTGTCCATTACATTGAGGACCTCATCCAGAAGTGAGGGTCCCAGGTCAAGCTGCAATGAAAGAAGCGAGCCTGCAAGATCTGAAAGGGATTCTTCTGATTTAGTCTCTGCCTTGGTTAGTTCACATGAGAGATGACTGTCATCAAGTAAGTCAACCGTTTGCCAATCAGTGCATTGTTCAGAAAGGCTGGATGAATGACTCTCTCTGCCATTAGTATAATGCAACCCAGAACTGTTCGGCTCCCATAGGATGTCATCTTTGTACATTTCCCCATTCTCTAACTGTTTGCTTTTCTCCCGCAATTTTTCTTCCATTACTGGCGCACAACTAAGCCTTGGATTCTTTGATGGCCCAAAGGAGTCCCGCTTTGAATTAAATGTCACTGGTGATAATAAGGGCAACACAAGGGCTTGAGAACCACCAATGGCAGGAAGCGAGATGGCATTTTTGAGCACAGGTGAAGGAGTTTCTGTAAACATGGAGTCACAGGTGCTGTTTGCCCTTAAGAACTCATTATGTCCACCAAACTGACCAACTCTTGGTGATCCCTCATTCCCAGGTAACAGCTCATAATTTCCTTGCAGAAATGAGATGTCCCCAAAAACATCATGTTGTCCCTCTTTCCCAATGTGTATGGTGTGGCGAAAGTCTCCAAGTGGTGGACTGATCATATCAGGCGACAAAATATCCCTTAATTTGAATTTCTTCCCTTTCTTATTATTGGCAGCTTTCAGGTAGATGGGTGTCTTAGCTGGCATTTTGTTTGCAGATTTTGAGGTGGTCTGTTTTATAAGGGATGGGAAAAAAAACCAACCCACTTCTTATAGGAATTAGTGATTCTTCTCCAGCAGACTTTCAATGTTATCGTTGTCACATTATTGACTTGGATGGCTCTCACACATAGGGTCCATTTCTTCTGCAAAAGAGAATCTGGAAATTAAGAGCGCTGAAGAACCCCAATGCAGAGCCTTCCAAGTTTAAGCATACAACTGTCCTTCAGGTGAGGAGTCAGTGACCAAGTACTCTATTACTTCCAAAACCTGAGAAAACCTGTATGGGAAACAAAGCAGGTTATTAGCTTACTCTTCATGGTTCACTCAGCCTTGCTTTTACAAAAACAATTAGTAATGGTACTGACAGTTCCAGCCTGCAGATTAGCTTTATGATGTTGCTTCCCTTCATTAAGCAGGATAAAAGGCTTTAGTCTAACAAGGGCTAGCTAACCTCTTCCTGACTTCATAGTTTTTTGAAGTCAGAGTTCCTTAGACACGGTTGCTGAGCACAGTTCACTTGGTAAACTCACTATCTCCATTTCTCTCTCACTCTGTCAGTCATATTCAATCTGGAGAGGCAGCAATGATATTCAAAGGTTTCCACATTGACATTTAAAAGAAAAAACCTCAAACTTTTTAAACAAAACCCCACACTTTTTAACACAGAGGCCTATACGCATTAAGATTGAGATAGGTCTGAGAAAGTTCAAAGTTAGACTCATATAGCCAAGAGTTTCAAAAAATGGCGTCAAAGGCTATGACTTACAGCGAGCGGCACAGCTGCCCTGCTGTAAGCTCTCTAGCGTAGCCGCTCTAAGTCAATGGGAGAGAGGTCTCCTGTCGGCTTAATTACTCCAGCCCCAGAAAGCGGCAGTAGCTATGTTGGCTTGAGAAGCTCTCCCACAGACATAGTGCTGTCCATACCAACCCTTAAGTCGGCATCAGTTACGTTTGGCTAATTCACATCCATGAGTGACATAACTATGGCAACTTAAGATGTAGTGTAGCCGTGGAGCCTAGATTTAGGCTCCTACCCCCATACTGAAGCATCTAAATAAGACACCTGATTTTCAAGAGTGTTAATCATCCACCACCTCTCATTGTCGTCCCCTCAAAAAAAGGAAAGAATCATATCATTTATTTAGCAGCCTAACTGTAGGCCCTCTTTTGCTTCCCTGAAAGGTCAAAATTTTAGAAAGTTATGCACAACTGAAAAGATCTTAGAATGGAAACTCCCACCTCAGCCTTAACTACAGTTGTCATTAGCACTTCAATTATAATTAAGTTAAAAAAAAAGTCTAGGTCAATCCAAAATTGCACATTTGAAACAAATCACAGGACGTAAGGAAGTGCAGAAAGGGTTAAAAACCATATCCCAGGTTAAACTCTACTGAAGCCAATGGAATTAGGTTACAGGTTTTAACAGCAACATTAATTCAGGCAGGCTGCATGCTATCTGCAGTCAATTAGATTTAGTTACTAAAATGAGCATTAAAAATAAAGGTACATATTTAAGAACAGAAAACATCATTTATGTGCAAGGTGGTCAAGTTCACTTTAATTTTTTATTTCTTGGCTTTCTGGGTGCGACTTTCAAGCCAGTCCTCCAGTTTTTACAGGCAAAATTTCACATCCACAATTAACTGCACCTAGTATTGATTCAGGAAGGAGCAACATTGTGGGAGTAATTCACTGTTGGTGCCAAACAACACAAGAAAGACCGGCCCAGCTTGAAAGTCAGCCCTCTGCAAGGTTTACCCTTTTGACTTACTGCTAGTCAGTTCCTAAAAGTGCACACTAGAAAACTAAGTGCCTAGTTAAAAACTCTTAACTAACTTCTAACATGCACTGGAAAAGTGACCTTCATATCCCTCCCTTGGCTTCCCTTTCTCCATCATATAAACGTCAGCTACGTGTCCTCACTTCCAAGGAACTTTATGACCCTTCCTCATCCAATCTCATCTCTCATTCAGGATGATCGGCCCATGATGCCAGCCTCTGCAGCCCTGCTGTAACAAGAGCAAGGGAGCGGATCTGTGAGAGCAGAGCTGCAGAGAACTTCTGGGGCTGCTGCAGGGCCCAGGACAACGGATCCCTGCAGGCAGAGGCAGAGTAGGGGTTTGTGGGTCCCTGGGCCAGAGCAAGTGGAGGCCCTTTCCTACCCCTTCCACCTGTAGTCCCTCCCACCCTCCAGCGCTCCTGCAGGGGAAGAGTGGGGTTGGGCTGCAGGGGCTTCCCCCACTCCCCAGCAGGAGCACCAGGCAGGTGGAGTGGGACAAGCCCCTGCACCCCGACCCCGCTCTCTGGCAGGAGCGCAGGGGGGACAGAGCAGGGCAAGCCAGTGCGGGGGCACCCATTTTGCTGGTACTCTGGGGCACGGGCCCCATTGGCCCATGGCTATTCCACTACTGCCTGCAGACAAGGCAGGGGTGAGGGAAAGGAAGGCTCCAGTCCTAGCGGGGCAGAGCAGAGACCCCTGGCCAGGGCTGTCAGGAGGACAACAGTAACGAACCTCCGGCCACGGTGGAGGCCACCCAGTGCAGTGGCTGAATGGCTCAGTCCATAGGCAGGAACTGTTCAGGAACACCCCATGGCCATGCGCTCATCCTCCTTCTGGCAGTCCTGACTGGGGGGGGGGGGGGGGGGGGGGGTGTCTCTGCTCTGCCAGGCCATGACCACATACTGCCCTGCACCTTGTGCCTCAGTGTCTTGGACCCCTGCTGTTGGTGTTGGTAGCCCCCTGCAACCCCGCTGTTGGCACTGCCCTAGCCATACCTCCCTCCCCTGCCTAAATTTACAGCAACTGTAAAAATAAAAATGGTTTAAAACATTTCTTAAAAGTGAAAAATGCAGTATTAATAGCTGATATAAAAGTCCCGGATTCTGCCAAGGCTATTCATAGCACAATGAGGTCCTGGTCCATGACTAAGGCTCCTAGGCACAATGGTAAAATAAATAGATAAAAAGGGAACAAATAAACTTAATTAAAAAAAAAAAAAAAGGTGAAAAGGATCTCCTTCAAATTAAAAATAAAACAACAACAACAAAAATCCACTCCCCCACCCCCACATACTTTGAATAGAGACTAGGCCTGAGACATTTCCGCCTCAATGACACATTTTCAGTTATAACCCGGTTTTCACTCAAGCAGTTTTACCTTCCAGTCTGTGTTATCAAGCAAACATTTATAATGCTGTCTCAGACTCCTTTCAGCAGTCTCGTCAACCCAGTGCACAGTCAGCATAAGCCTCCCTCATGCAGCCTAAAATTTTCAACGCATGCCTCAGTTTATACCTCAGCCAGCACTTCAAAAACAGTTACAAGCTAGTTTTTGAGGACTAGGGCTACCAGGGAGAGGTAAATACATAAGGTAAAGGCGGATTCCCATCTCCACCCCCAGCAAGGCCAGACGCAATTCCCTGGTAAGAAACCCAGCCCCCACACCCACCCCATCTTTTGGGAGGGTGAGGATGGGATTTCTATTGGAGCAGTGGTTTTCAACCTGGGGTCCACAGACTATATCTAAGATTTCCAAAGGGGTCCGCAAATGAAAAAAATTTGAAAACCACTTTATTAGAGTGATCTCTTTTAAGGGCTCCATCTTTCATAGCCATCTCTGATTAACAGGGGTTTTAGCACTGTTTTACATAGAAAGGTGCACCAGTTTAACAAGATCAGCACATCACCATACCTTCAATTCCACCGGTGTAACTTTTGGGTTCAGATCAAGCCTTAAATCTGAAGTCTCATCCCCAAACTGCTAGGAGGAAGGAGGTGCCTCCTGCAAGGGAGAGGGTCTCCACTATTTTGCCCCTACCCTTGGAACCTTCTCTCCTCTGATTAACTCCAGTGCATGCTCAGAACTTTCCCAAGCAGAAGCAACAAACATCGGACATCTTCAGTTTCATTGCTGCTGTTCAGAACCCTGTGAGCAGCAGTCAAAAGTGACCAGAACCATGTTAACTTCACTTTGATGCTGCTTGGCAAAACTAAAAGCAACTAATCTGTGCATCTGCCAACTCAACAAAATGACACTGCATTGAGCCTGCATCAGTTTACATTTGGGAGGGTCTCTTAATTTACACAAGAGTTAGAAACATACGAAATAATCTTCAACTCTTCAGAATTTAACAGGAAAATCTCTGTACTTGCCTTGTAGATTTGTCACTTAATCATTAGATGAATGTATTTTTCAAGCCATGACAAGACACTCTTTGTCTTGAATTTAAAAAACCAGGAGATGCATTAGGTACTAGACTGCTATTCAGATACTTTCCTGTTTGTCAACACTAACAAGAACATGCATTGAAATGGTCCTCAATTAGCACAATGGCAAACTCCCTTGAAAAGCTGGGCACTCAACATACATACAGAATATATTTTATGCTGCTTACAAAACCAAAGGCCAATAGAGTAATCATGCAAGACAGAAATGGGTTCTACAGAAAATGCATTACTCAAACTAGATCAGAGGCTCTGGTGCAGCTACAACCCATGGCTGGCGGATGGCTGAAGTCAGGGCAAACTAGTCAGTACAGTACAGACAAGCCCTTAGTTATAATATAAGCAGTACTGATATACTTAATTAAGAACTTACCATCTCTTATCTCTGAAATCCCATCTAGATTTCTGTATCTGTAGCAGGCAGCAGGCCCTGGAAAATATGAGAGAAGGACATATATGTCTGTTTCCTGGAAAAGATCCCTTAACTTCCGTGTTTATATAGTCCCAAATCCCTTCTGAGTAGCTCCAACCAAATCAGTTAGTACTGTTTAGCTCTTTTGTTGCTCCCTGCTAAAGAGTTTGCATCCTTTTGATTCAGGCCACAGATTTAATTACTCCATAAAAGATTCAGGCCAATTCACACGCCAGTTCAGTTCAAGTGATTTACCCTAACTCTGCTCAACCCAGCCCTTTTAGATTAAATTTACCCATTCTGTCCCAGTTTAACTCAAAAGAAACTAAAGACGACAAAAAACCACAAATACATGAGAAAACTCACACACCCTGCTCCCCGCTGGACATATATTTATTTATCAGTGACAGGGAATGCATGGAAAGCTTCAAATATTTGATGTCTTGGTGAGCTGAAGGGAGTATAAAAGGAACTGGTTCATTTTCAGACACACTTTCCTCTCCACTTCCCTTCCCAAAGGTGTGAAACACTTCTTATATGGATTCTGTCCCTAAACGTTTTCATTTCCTCTAGTTAGATTCCCTCAATTTAGTGAAACGTTAGAAGAAAAGTATGCCAGCAATGTTTAGACAGGTGGCGAAGACAGTTGAACTGCAAGGATAGGCTAGGACAGATGGAAGGAACTTAGAGTCCCTGCCTCTAGATATCTTCCATGTCTGCTCTCCCCACAAAGTCCCTTCTTATGTTGAGGATTGTCATAAATATAAAGGGAAGGGTAAACACCTTTAAATCCCTCCTGGCCAGAGGAAAAACCCTTTCACCTGTAAAGGGTTAAGAAGCTAGGAGAACCTCGCTGGCAAAATGACCAATGAGGAGACAAGATACTTTCAAAGCGGGGGGACGGGGGACGGACAAAGGTTCTCTCTGTCTGTGTGATGTTTTTGCCGGGACCAGAGCAGGAATGCAGGTCAGAACTCCTGTAAAGAGTTAGTAAGCAATCTAGTTAGATATGCATTAGATTCTGTTTTGTTTAAATGGCTGATAAAATAAGTTGTGCTGAATGGAATGTATATTCCTGTTTTTGTGTCTTTTTGTAACTTAAGGTTTTGCCTAGAGGGATTCTCTATGTTTTGAATCTGATTACCCTGTAAACCATTCTGATTTTACAGAGGTGATTCTTTTACTTTTTCTTTATTAAAATTCTTCTTTGAAGAACCTGATTGCTTTTCATTGTTCTTAAGATCCAAGGGTTTGGGTCTGTTTTCACCCGTGAAAATTGTTGAGGATTTTTATCAAGACTTCCCCAGGAAAGGGGGTGTAGTGCTTGGGGGGGGATTTTTTTTGGGGGGGGGGGGGAGACGTTTCCAAGTGGGCACTTCCCCTGTTGTTATTGTTAGACACTTTGGTGGTGGCAGCGTTTAACCTAAGATGGTAAGAATACGCTTAGGGGGTCTTTCATGCAGGTCCCCACATCTGTACCCTAGAGTTCAGAGTGGGGAAGGAACCTTGACAAGGATGAAAATAAATAATCACACTTTTGGAAAAATCATTCAGCTATTTGCATCTTTAAATCTTGCAGCCTTTCCCATATGGAAAACCCCCTCACACGATCAAACCCCACTGGATAAAAGCACCTTAGTTGCCTCTACTTAAATGCACAATGAGATAAAGCTGCCATTATAATGGTCATACTAAAATTTCAGTTACCCACCCCACTGAAATTGTAATTCACTCATCTAGGAACTATTATTTTAGTCTTTCAATCAGCAATCTTAAGACAGCCTTGTACTTATTAACACCTGAAAGGATATCTCTGAAATCAGAAAGGTGTCCCACAATGTCTGTTCTCACCTCTCTGACCATCAGTTTGAACTCTACTGCCCTGATCTCAGGTGACTAACCGTCAGCCCCACCCCATACATTCCTTTGCAAATTTGAAAGTCCCCTTCTTGTTTGCTCCGTGATGCGTACAGTGGTCTCTGCACATCTTTCTAGGTGGCCATGCCTGCCCCACACAATCCCGCACTTGGAGCGATGCCGAGCTGCTGGACCTCATCAGCATTTGGGGAGAGGAGGCAGTTCAGTCACAGCTGCGCTCCAGCTGTCGGAATTATGATACCTATGGACAGATTTCTAGATGCGTGATAGAAAAGGGCCATGACTGGGACACACTGCAGTGCAGGGTCAAAGTGAAGGAGCTGCGCAACGCCTTCCACAAGGCTTTCCTCTGGTTGTTGTTTTTTAATAAAAGAAGAATTGTTTTGATGTGAAAACAATCTTTATTCCATTAATTGAAAGAAAATAGAGCCCCGCAAAGTGGTAGGCAATTGTCTTAAACCTTCATAGTGTATCGTCTGCACCAAACACAATCACCTCCTAGCATTACAAGAACTGCACTCCCGAGCATAGCAACAAATATTAGTGGCTTTCAGCTTCAAATTGATGCCTCAAGGCATCCCTGATCCTTATGGACCCATGCTGCGCCCCTCTAATAGCCCTGGTCTCTGGCTGTTCAAATTCAGCCTCCAGGCACTGAGCCTCAGTGGTCCAGCCCTGAGTGAAGCTTTCACCCTTCCCTTCCGAATTATGATGGAGCGTATAGCACACAGATATAAACATAGCAATATTGTCATCGGCCATGTCCAGCTTCCCATACAGGCATTTCCAGGGGGCTTTTAAACAGCCAAATGCTCACTCCACAGCCATTCTGCACTTGCTCAGCCTGTTCTTGAATCACTCCTTGCTGCTGTCAAGTTGCCCTGTGTATGGCTTCATGAGCCAAAGCATTAAGGGGTAGGCTGGAGTCTCCCAGGATCATAATGGGCATTTCGACTTCCCCTACGGTGATCTTCTTGTCTGGGAAGAAAGTCCCTGCTTGCAGCTTCTTGACAGGCCACTGTTCCGAAAGATGCGTGTGTCATGCACCTTTCTGGACCAGCCTGCGTTAATGTCTGTAAAACACTCACGGTGATCCACAAGTGTCTGGAGAACCCTGGAGAAATACCCCTTGTGGTTAATGTACTCGGTGGCTAGGTAGTCTGGTGCCAGAATTGGCATGTGCGTGCCATGTATCACCCCTCCGCAGTTAGAGAAGCCCATTTGTGCAAAGCCATCCACAATCTAATGCACGTTGCCCAGAGTCATGGTGTTTCGGAGCAGGATGCGATTAATGGTCCTGCACAGTTCCATCAACGTGTCTCCAGTCCAGCTGTTTTCTGTATGCTCCATAATATCTGTGAGAGTAAGGGGGAGACGTTTATGGAGGGGTGGGAGGTTGAAGCAAATTGCCTGGTGGCCGATTTTGAGCACCCAGACACCAAGGCGATTTAGAAGAGTACAGCAGGGTGTGCTGCACATAGAAGAGGCTTTGAAAACCAGTTTCATGACCTGCCAGACTACGGTGTGACAGTTCTGTGTGTTTCTCCTTGCTGCAAACCCGCCCCCCTTTGTTGATTTTAATTCCCTGTAAGCCAACCACCCTCCCCCTTCAATCACAGCTGGCAAAGGAAATAAAGTAACTATTGTTTTGAAACCATGCATCTTTCTTTATTAATTAAAAAGAACGGAGATAACTGACAAGGTAGCCCGGGTGGGGTGGGGGAGGAGGGAAGGACAAGGCCACATTGCTTATTGTAGCCCCACTACAGATCATAACTGTTTGAATGACAGCCTTCTGTTGCTTGGGCCATCCTCTGGAGTGGAGTGGCTGGGTGCCCGGAGCCTCCCCCGCACGTTCTCGGGTGTCTGGGTGAGGAGGATATGGCACTTGGGGAGGAGGGAAGGCGGTTATACAGTGGATGCAGCGCTCTGTGCTCTTGTTGGCTTTCCTGCAGCTCCAACAGATGCTTCATCATATCCGTTTGCTCCCCCATTAGCCTCTGCTCTTCGCGCTCACTTAATGCTTTCCTGGCCTCTGCCACTGAATGCCTCCATGCATTAAGCTGTGCCCTATCAGTGCGGGAGGACTGCATGAGCTCGGAAAACAAGTCATCGTGAGTGCATTTTTTTTGCCTTCTAATCTGCGATAACCTCAGGGACGGAGATGATAGGGGGCGCATGGAAACATTTGCACCTGCAGGGGGAGATAAAAAGGGAGAGTAAAATGTAAGATGATACATTTCTGAGAACAAAACAGAGACTCTTTCACAGAGAATCAAGCAATTCACAACAGACAGCACATGTGCTTTAGGTACAAGGTTGCATTTTGCCTTTTATATTGAGCGCCTGCCGGTATGGCGACACATCACACATGGCTGGGCAACAGAATTCGGTTTCCAGGCAGCCATAGTAAGCCTATCAGTACGCGGGATTGGCTTCTTATGCCTTCATAACATGTGGGAATGGTTTCAAACTGCAGCGCCATCCTTTCCCACAGCAAGCAATGGCGGTTAGGTTTCACATTTAAAAAGGAGGGGCTGCGCTTTTCGGGTGGATGTGCAGCACACACCTCCCCACACCCCACCACGTGGCTATTCTCTGGGATGATCCCTTCACCCCTCCCCCTGCCGCATGGCTATTCTCTGGGGTGATCCCTTTTAGCCAAGCACAAACAGCCCGCCATGAACGTGGTCCTTTTACTGTTCCCTTACAAAAATTCCCCTATTTCAACCAGGTGACCATGAATGATATCACTCTCCTGAGGCTAACACGGAAAGATATAGACCAAATGTTGCTTGAATGCGACCAAAACCCAGGACCATTCACTGCCACGCTTTGTGCTGCAATGATTCCAGACTACTTGCTACTGGCTTGGCGTGGTGAAGTGTCCTACCATGGAGGACGAAATAAGGCAGCCCTCCTCAGAAACCTTCTGCAAAGGCTTTCAGAGTACCTCCAGAATAGCTTCATGGAGATGTAGCTGGAGGATTCCTGCTCCATCCCCAGACACGTTAACAGACTTTTCCAGTAGCTGTACTGGCCACGAATGCATCCCAATTCTTCAGGGCAAATCAAACATTAAACACTATTGCTTTAAAACCCTGTACTGTAGTTACAAAGGTGCACTCACCAGATCTGCC